GAGGTGGGAGGCGGGCGGGGCTAAAAGCCCGTGCGTCGCTGCTGGAAAGGCGTCGCCGGGGGAGCCTGGCAGAGACAGCCGTCTTTCCCCGGCCGCGCCGTGTGGTATTGATGGTCGCCATAAAGGCGCTTGCATACTGCGCCGCTGCCGCCAAGGGGAGGGTGGCGATAGCTCCCGCTGAAGGCCACCAGACAAGGCAGTGGGCGCCAGCCAAGTGAACACCCAATCCTCAAGTTGTAAAATTTTGGCAATATTCAATATCTATATTTTTCTCTTAATTTTTCTACAATAAATATGATAATTGTTTCTCGAAAAACTTTGGACACACAGATCGTAGCGATATTAGCATTTCTTCTCAGTTTTAGCATCAGTCATTCTATATGCATATAAACTTGATTTATTTTGTCCCTGAGTGAATAAGAGGAGGTGCTCATTTGCATTATCACTCTGTATTATAAGAGCATGTTTATGTTACGTCTTAAATTATCCACGTACCTTACATCTGGGAAAGAATAGTATATGCTCGCAAGCACAGAATGTCTCGTTGTTCAAAAAATGGTGTGACAATGTACATATTAGAGGCGGAGTCTATTATTCTCTCGTTTTATTTCCAGATCTATTTTCGTGAAAGAGCAAGGAGGAGACTTCTGGAAATGCATAAAACCGTTTTCAAGCAGCAGCTCATCGAAGAGGCTTTATCGAAAATGTGTGTTTGCGAGAAGAACGCTGGAGGTAATAGATATCTACGTATGAGTCTTGTTCACAACGAAAATACTCTTTGATGTTGATGGATTGCTTTTTAACGTCGTTTTATTTCATATTGAAGAAGAAATGAAGAAAAAAGAAATTTATTAGACGACGAACGAGGAAAATTTCTCTTTCTTATTGTATCTTGTAAAATCAATACAGTCCGTGTTCCAGGTATTTTTATTTAAGTATAGATATAAGCTTTAGACGCAATGAGCAATGTTGTAATAGAAGTTCCTGATTTTCATTACTATACTTTGAAAATTAATGCCATTAAAAAGCATTCTCTATCAAGCTTCGATCTTTCTAATTGTGAGTAGAAAATATTGAATTTATTGAAATGGATGCGTTAAAACTAATTTTTACAAAGTACTGGTGGTGTTGACTTCAGCGGCGGGGAGCAAAAGACGGCGCGTCGAGTCGCTGTGCAAGGAGTGGAGGATAGCCGTTCCATTGACTTGATTTTGTATTGTGCTTTTGACTGTCTATTAAATATTTTTTTCAGGTATTTGGTCTACGCTTCAGACGTTTTCAGACTTTATTTTTGAGAGCGGCTAATCATTACGTATTGTATATTTTGTTGACGACATGGCTAGTGTAATGGATTTGTTGGATGATTAACTAACAATAACTATTTATGAGTTAAGGGATTTTTAAAGTTTCTAATGATCGAGCGGCGACAAAATGCGCGTGGACCTTTGGCTTGAGGGATTTCTGTCGCCCGACATTAGAACCAGTTAACGCCTGTGGTACATACATAATTTCATTTTTTAGCTAATTTTATTGATTCAGATTTGTTTATTTATTAACTAACTCGGTTAATATTTTCATATTTTCCTCCTATAATTTCCTTCCATAATTGCATGAGACAAAATATAGTACATTCAACTGTTTCCATATTTCCTTCGACATCGTAATCCTCTCGATTCCTGTATGATATGCTAAAACGCAGTAGCTATTAAGCTATAACGTATGAGTATAAAATAAAGTTGTGTTTTGACTTTTATTCGAGTGCAGATATTTCAATTTCACTTAGAATTTCGCCCGTACAAGAGAACTGCGGAGCGCATTCCCGCCATCGTGAAGCAGCGTTCGCGTATTCGCCCTGAGGAAGGTCGCAGAACGGTGGTTGAAATGTTGGCACCTATGCCTAGAACGCGGCTTTACCCGGTGTTTGCGCGCGGTGATGGTGTAACGGTTAGCGTACCGGACTGTACCCAAGTTGGTGGGAACCCGATCGAAGTCGTGGATTTTTAAGGGCGAAAAAATTCCTTCGTACGCCTTCCTTCGGAGGGGAAGTGAAGGCGGCTGTCCCACGTTAGTAGATTTACTTGCATGTAAAAGATTCTCAAGCCTACATGAGCTAAATTCAAAATCGCCTGTTTCTCGTCTAAGAAATACCTCCTTTCTCTGCTAGTTGGTGAAAGGAACGTAGCAAAATTTGCGTGGTCAGACGGAAGAGAAGGCCTCATGTCCTGAGTCTCGCCACGTGAAATAAGGCATTCATTCCATTCAATAATTCAATTAGCCGGACAGCCGAGTGGTTAGTACAGCGCCAGCGCGCACTCACCGGACAGCAGCAGCTTCTCCTGGCGGTCGTTCTCGCGCTGCGTGCGGAAGCGCGTCTCCATGGAGCGGTGCGTCTCCAGGAAGGCCTTGCGCTGCCCGCGGTCCGTCAGGAACTTGGTGTACATGCCCGCGGCGTTGACGGCGGCGTACAGCAGCGCGGCGGCTGCCAGCTTGCGCCAGACGGTGGCGGCGTCCTCGTCGTCGCCGCTCAGCCCCACCACCAGCGACCACACCAGGTGCACGCCGGCGCTCACGCCGCCCAGCAGCGCGCACCAGCGCAGCGGCAGCGGCAGCAGCGCGTACGTGACGAACTCGATGAACAGCACGTACCACACCAGCTCCGTGTTCTCCGGGAAGCCCAGCCCCTTGCCCGTGCACCCTGCGCATGCCCACGCACTCACTACACATGCATCGCCGGGGGAACGTCCATGCTTCTAAACGTCGGTGTCCGAAATTGAAACGTCAATCTTAATAAAATATCGCTTCAAATCTATCGATGTTTTTAAAATTACAGTAGTAACCGTTAATGTTCACGGGGAGATTTAATTTAAGGGTTGTCGCATTTATTACTTACTAATTGAACTACTTAATGAACAAATATCTTGAAACAATTATTTCAGTGAAACTCTTGAGATAACCACCTTTGTAAGATGTCCAACCCTTTTCGAGATCAGCTTTATATGAAACGGAATAATAATTCCATTAGACCACTGTATGTATACCCCCTTAAAGACGACCACCCGTCTTCCTGATCAACGACCACGAACTTTTGTCGTAACGTAACATCGCATTCCCTTTAAGACGACCAGAAAACCTTGCATTGAAATAATAAACCCGAGAGATCGCGCAATTTTGATAGCCGTGTCCGGCGTCTTTCACATGAGCAACAGCGATCGGGCGCGTGAGATTTCACGATAACTCCGAAACGTTGGAAAGTTAGAGAAACTATCGCGTTATAAAGTTAAAAGATGATTTCACATAAGCAATATAAATCCCTAGATTACAATCAACAGGAGACTACCTTATGTCAATAACGCATTACCTGAAACAGGACAAATCTCGAAGCACACTGTTCAATTGTTTTTTGTAATCATATAAATTGATAAATATGCTTCATCAAAGTAGTTTAATGATGCAATAGAATAAAGATTTTACTTGAAACCAGAATAATGTTACGAGGTTTATGCTAGTAGTTGCAGCAGCTGCGGTGAGTACAGTTTAATTGTGCGATATTTCATTTAATATCACCCCCCCCCTCTAAAATACTAACTTTAAGGTATTAATCACGTGGTAAGCTTGAAGGGGTTTCACTGAATTTGAATAATTCAAAAATTGCATAGTCTTGATTTATCAAAAATCATAAGTGGATGTTGAATATTCTCACGCTTGACCGCATTGGGCTTGGATTTACAAATGCTCAATTTATGAATAATATCTGGAAATTATTAGAAGTGTTTATTATAATAGTAACTTTTTCCTTAAATAATAAAAAATCTCAATTACGTAAAACATCAAACAGAAAACATATAGTTAAAAAACCATCGGTTTACAAAAATCGACGTTAAATACATCGATGATTTTATAAAAACGTCAATGCCGCATCTCTCCTCCTAACTCCCTCAGGCTCTGATCCCTCACGAGGAGGCGCTGGAGACAGATGGTGGCAAGTAACGGTCACATTCATTTCAGTCCAAGCATATCTGTTTCCTCGGAATGTACTCTTGAAGAAAAAATGACGTACAGATGTGTCAGGATAAATGGTACAAACGTATACCGTATGTGATGGGATTGAAAAGGTTGAGTTTTTGCCAATTATCCTCTGGCCGGAAATTACTTATAGCGCAATTTCGAATGTGGCATTAGCCGCTGTGTTAAGAAAGTCCCTCACGTACCGCTGTTCTGAAGAAAAACTGTGAAAGGGTGATGACGCTGTCAAAGACATTTCGTGAACCTTCTGAATGGCGTTGAATGACCACTTGGCTAACAATCAGATGCTAAAGTCACATCGTAATTTCTAACACGAAATTTCCAGTCACATTTTAATTGACAAAAAGCAATAATGTTCATACCTTCTACGAGTCCTAGATATTTCAATAATTTATTCCGAGACATTCTGTACATGTGAATTTGTTTTGATTGTGAGAAAACACTATTCTACCACTTCTAAAACAACGACTTCCTTACACTCGTATAAATTCTAATTTTCGGCGAATTGGCTTTTTAACAATTTACCTGGTTTTTATTTGAAAAGATAATAATTTTCTATCAGTTTCGATTTGTTATCAATTCAGAAACGGAGAAGGTACAACACATTTCTTGCAGCAATTTCATTTCAAAGAAATACTATATCCGTGAACTATTTTCTGTCAGAATTTAAACTAGTTGCTCTATAAATTTTTTCTAGAAAATAAGTATGAATAAGGCGAAAAAATCGTAACACAAATAATGATTACTTGGTTAAAATTCAAAGCCTTTTAATCCGCGAGCCATCGATTACAGCTGTCAATTCAGGATTTCAGGAGGTACAACACATTCATTGTAGCCATTTCATCCCAAGGTGATTTTATTTCCGTGACCATTTTTCTGTTAGAGTTTAAATGAATTGATTTATAAAATTAGTTTTGAGAATTAGTATATATAAAGGGAAATTCGTAACACAAATGATGATTACATGAATAAAATTCAAAGGTTTTTAATCTGCAAGGCATTATCTTCATTAAAACGTTCGTGCATTATAGAAGCTATCTAATTGAGGAAATAATATCAACTATATCGTTTATATTTTGTTTTACCTTGTGCATTTGATTTCTATATATTCTTAGAGATCGAATTTTTTTAAACTCTCAATTTGTTTATAATTAGTTGGCCAAAATGATGATTTTTCCTTCAGACATACTAATTTGACAACAAGTTGATGTATTGTCATAATTATTTTCGTAAATTAATCACAAGTGTATGTTCTAGAGACTGAACTAGAATGGTAAAGGAAATGTAAAAACTAAAGAGTCAGGATTTGATTATATCCGAAAAATAATTGTTTAAAAGTATATCTGGACATTTCAGTTCATTTAACTGAAAATTTTATTGACACATTAACTACTATGATCCATTCTCTAGAGCAAATTATAGATTACAAGCTGCAAGAATAATGATATCATTATCCTTTATGATTTACGAATTATGTTTGACATGCATGAATGTGTTGAAAATTCTCAATACGAAAAAATGTATCTTCACTCACTAGGGGCTTGACAGCTGACAATAAAAAACGTGGCGCCTGAGTATTCGCTTCGAAAAAAAAAAACTATTTACTCAAGAAACTAAGAAACGTAGGAAGACATGGTTTAAAGCATTTAAAAGAGAATAAAACAGGGCATACGACTCAATAAAAATTGAAGAAGATGAAATATCACGAGTTTACGTAATTTTGAGGTAGGCAGCTGCCTTGACTGAGGTAAGCGTGTGGAGGCGTGGGCGGGCGCTCACCCTGCGCGTTGAGCAGCAGCCAGGTGCAGCCGGCCGCCCAGTGCAGGTAGTTGTTGGCGAAGCAGCGCCACCAGCCGAGCGCGCACACGGCGGCGTTGGCGAGCGCGCACGACACCGTCCACGAGATGGCGACGGCGTGCGTGGCGACGCCCGCCTCCTGCGCCTCCTGCGTCGCCAGGAACACCGTCGCCAGCGACACCTTCAGCGCCAGGTCCACCATGTTCACCACGATCAGCGAGCGCTGCCGCTGGCGGTGCGAGTACCTGCAGCGCCACCGGGAGCGGACGTCATGGAATCATTCATTAGTCCCTGACACGGTCGATTGCTCCGTTTGGGTAGTAAACATTTTACCACAGGAAGGGGCGGTATTCCTGCCTTTTTGCACGGTGATGTAGAGAGGTTGCTCTGAGACGGTACCACTTTGACAGGTCGAGAAACAAATGAACGTCTTGCAGGGCGATGACATTACTATACGTGATAGTGATGAAGCCAGTTACAATTGAGCTACCTGTAAACGAACGCAGTGACAAAATGAATGTGTGGACGTAATTGGAAGTTATATTGCAAGAAGTGGTAAAGCAGTAGCTGTCAAAGAATTTCCTTCTTATACCAATCGCTCTGTGCGGTGCCTTGCGGCTTGGGGTATTTCTTCCCTCCTGAATACTCCTCCCTCTTCATGTATCTCCCTCAGAGAGACATCGTCTTAGCTGAATAGGTTCTGTGGTTACGACTGATTTTCAGACATGTGTGTTGTGGTATGGAGGATGTAAGGTATGTGTGTGTTCCTATGTGTAAGTAAAGGGGAGAAAAAAAGGATAAAAAAGGAAAGGTCGCGCGCTATCAGTGGCCCGTTTGTAGGTTTACTGCTTTAGCATTAACCTGGTATTGATAGAAAAACCGAAACTACCAGAGTAACCGACTCCTAGATTTTTCGTCCAAAAGATGCTGAATTCCATCTAACGTTGTAGCTAGTGTAAAATATTCGCCACTGTTGGACGCGAACCTCCTAGGACCTCCAGGTTAGAGTCGCTGCAGAGACAACATTAATGCAGGCTCTGAGCAACACTCCGCCGGTAGGGGTACAGCGTACAGAAGACCGATGGATTTCGATCAGGATGGGCGGAATGTTTCCTAAGATTTGCGTATATTATTCCCTACAGAATATTTCTTGAACGTGGAAAATGTCTATCATGTAGCGTTTTCTTAGCATTTGCATGCAATTTTACTATAGTATCTAAAAAAATGATTTTAAGGATTGAACGTGTTTCTTATTTCAGGCTTCTCACATCTGACAACAGGGTTTGTATTTTAACGATTGCATGGAATTGTCAATGTTTAGATTGAAACCCTACATAGTGGTACCGTCGAGAGCTCAATACGAAATTTGCATTCCTTGATAGTTCATAAATGCATTACTGACACAATTTAAGTTATTATGATATCATATAGTGTTTTAGTCTAATCTTGTTCTTATTTGCTGTTACATTAGCTAGCTACTTCTAAATGCATTAAAAAACTAATAGCAGTTAATAATTATGGTTTTAAAACTTGGTAAATTAAGTAATAACAAGAAGAAAATTACTAGGTTATCTCTACTTCTTCATGTTCCTCATTTTTCTGTCTTTTACATATTTAAAAATGGTCAATAAATAAATAAACAAAAACATAAATGAATGAATGGGAAGTGGAGGAATAAGAGGAGCTGCAGGGGGTGGCGGGATGCGTGGGGGGGGGGGGCACCGGACCTCTGGTACGCAGCTCGCAGGTGCGAGGCGCGGAAGCCGGACTGAGCGAGGGGCAGTAACCACGCCGCGGTACACCCATCGCGCTTGAAGGCCTGCAGCTGGGCGTCGGCGCGTGTCGCCGCGCCGTCCCCCGCGCCCGCGCCCGGCCGCCCGCCGGTCGCCGCCGCCGCCTGTCGCCACGCCGCCCGTGGGCGCTGCGCGCCGGGAGCCGCGGCTGCGGCAGCAGCTCGTGGGCGACGGGCTCGCTGGCGCCGTCACCGGGCTCCCGCCGGTTGTTGGACGGGGCCAGCGCCAACGAATTGCTCGCCTCGCTCTGTCGCACGCACGCGCGCACACTCCGCTCAGTCGCTTGCTTGCAGAGCAGCAAGTGTCTACACGGCGAGGATTCACGCCGAGCGACAGCACTGTCGATCTATTGCGCATGCGCAGTTCGGGTTTCGTATTGCTTTTGGGCATCTGCGCCTACGCACAAGATCGAGATTAAATGAAGTCGTAGGCTTCCACGGCCAGAGTCATGTGGGTGATCTGGGCTGTCCGGGTGTGCGCACACCAGCCCTGAGGAAGACCACGACAAGATGGTCGAAACGTCGGCAACACAGCCTTTGACGCGGCGTCACCCGGCCAGCCAAGACTTTTCGACCATCCTGTCGTGATCTTCCTCAGGACTGGTGTCACCGACGCGGCGTCACCCGGACAGCCCAGATCACCCACAAGATCGAGATTGCAGTCGATGACTATGCCGTGCAAAACTCCCTGTCGTCTCGCAATAAATGTTACAAAATCATAGGGCTGGTGTGTGCTTCGAAGATGGTCAATTTTTCCAATAATAATATGGAAAAGAATAAAAATAAAAGCGAAGTTATGAAATAAAGCGAAGTTACAAATGTGACATTGGCCCCTGATTGATAGCCAACTTATCGTGCACTAATTGACAAGTAAATGTTCTAACTCTAATTCTCTAATTTCCTTAACCTGTGTAAAATGGGTTTCCTACCAATCAGGGGCTAGTAAATCCTGAACTATGAGATTGGTTGATGAGAGTGTGGTGCGTGGTGAACTAGTTTTTAGAAGCTAGCGCCGCATAACCGTGACAGTTGTCGAAGGTTATGTCATTACATCTATTTTAATAGATATTTTAAATAGACTTATTTCCTTTCATCATGCATCTATTCTTTCTCGACTGCATAAATTGTGAAAGATTTAACCAAGTTAGTCCTTGAAATTGCACGAATCTAAAATTCTCGATGTCCATTATTCTTCTTCCATTATTCCAAGTTCTCTATATTTTCCCCCTTCCTTCGTTTTATGATTGTTGATAGTATGATGGACCTTTCTTCTTACCATTAAACCCTTAGTTGACAATGAAAAGGTAATTATATCATTTACTGTATTATATGTTGCGTAGTATGCATCTCTTTTTACATTTGGCTTTTTATTTTTCTTCTTTTTACTTGACAATAGCCACTTTCGTAATTTCGAGACATTTCGAGACCACTGGTTGTAAGGAGTTAAGTAGTCATGATGAAATATTCTTGTAAATTCAATGTAAATTCTTAAAAATCCTTGTAAATTCTTGTAAGTTCAAAATACCATTTAAAACCAAAGAATCGAAAGTGGATAATTCAATTGAATTAAACATGAAAAATGTAATTACAAAAAAATTAAATATATTGCAATGTTCTTTTTTGTTTAATTTAAAGTATTAAAAAGCCCACTAGACTACACGTAGTTTACAGTTAAAGAGTAAGTGTAATTTTTCAATAAAGTGTAAAATATACTCACTTATTATTTTCCCTTCTTTTAAACTTGCAATAACTCGACGCCATTTCTCATTATGCTGGCCTATTTAAAAATGTACTTAAATTTATTATATGTTTATTATTATTTATTAATATGTTAAATGTAGTGTTCTGCCACCAGGTTGTACAAACCTATCTGCAGGAATAATACATCTATTTATATTTAATGCATCTGCTTTAGATATATGAGATTCTTCTCTCCAGGACAATAACTTGGAATCCGATTTCTTTTCCTACATAGAGGAACGTTTTGTTACAGGCAATGAAATATCTCAGTTCCAACGCTCTTTGATGAAGTTTAGCCGATATTAGCAAATTTCTTTACTAATTATACTAATACTAATATTAATACTAATTTACTTATGAGCTCCTTTCATATTTATATAAAAATCCTTAAATTCTTTGTTCTGAACACTGAACCTGCCTCTAATACGATGGGTATTTATGTATTTATAATGTAATATATTCTTTCTACATTTGAACAAATAACGCGTCAAATTAAACGTTGCAATGTTTCTTAAAATTTGTGGTAATGTAAATATTGTTGTATTATTAATAGATATCTTTTGTCTCAGCGTCTTATGAAGCACGTTTTTAGTTTACGACATTGCTAAAGTTATTTCACTTTGAAATAATTAACAAGTAGCTATTCTTTTTAATTTAACATCGAGTCTTCTAAATTTTTATCACTTCACAGCAGACGCACATGTCAGTTTCATTACAAAATATGAAAGGTTTCCAAAATCAAAGAACACGGATGCGGTGTATGTATTTGTAAAATAACATACCTGGTGAATTCTGATGTAGAGTGAGAAATGCTTAGTGAACTTTCTTCTGAAACGACGACTAGCTGCATTTTCTTTCCAGTAAACAGGTAAAATTTTCTTCGGAAGAAAAGATGTATCATCATCATCATCTTCTTCTTCTCCTTCATCATCATTGTCGTATTCTTCTTCTTCATTTTGCGAAGGTAATGTTTCAGAAAAAGTGGATGATTGAAACGATGTCTCTTCATCCCATTCGTTAACAACGTCCAAAATTGCTTCAACTTCTGTTTCGGTAGCCATTGTAAAAGGGTGTGGAAATACATTAGTCTTGAACATAGGCTCCAAACTGTACTGCAGAAGACTGGTTTCTCAAGTTGGTGGAAATCCGAAAGCGATGCATGACATTTATGAGAACGTTTCGATAAGACAAACGATAAGAATCCATGTTAAAATCAATGTGACAATGTTTTATCGCCGTGAAGTGGACATTATCCTTTGCCTAAGCGGAATCAAATAATATGTAAAAATAGTTATTTCTTTTTACTAGTCAATTTAATGCGAAGTCAAAGTAGAATATGTTTAAATTCTTGTTAACATAAATGTTGACCCTTTAGTTTCAATATTTCAAGATTGGTGAAAACATAATCAATTAGGAAGCTGAACACTTTTATGAAAAACGCTCAATCTATATTTGAGTGTAGCACTGTTCAAGACTTGTTCGCTGACATTCACAATACCAGGGTATTTGCAATAAATAGAAATTCGGTCAGTTAAAAGTGTCTTTTCATAAGTTTACCCAATTTTTCTTAATTTGAAATAGAAAAACCGATTGATGAAATTTGACTTATAGACCACACCGGAGATGGCCAAAATGATTTTTCTAGTTTTCAATTTAGCAATGATTTATCACTTTCATGGTTATATGCAAGTGTCATCATTATGTTTGTGAAGCTGAGGCTGAACTTCATCGACAGAAATGTTTTTATATAACTTGCGCTAACGCGAAGATTGAATATAAACTCTTGATATTGGATGGAAATATGTTAATCCATTCATGTGGGTTAGTAATGTAAGGTCTTCACTCTTAAAATAGTACTTCTTATATCTTAGGAATTTTGCGATGTTCTTCCCAAAAATGCCTAGTCGTAAAGATAGTACAATTGTGCATAATATATTATTCAGATTTTTAAAGTTCAGTGACGTAGAGAAAAAAATAACATAAAAGCAAACTAGCGTTTCTAAGAACGGTATATTCAAGTATTTCAAAATATTTGCATGATAATCTATTTGGTTGTAATTTTGCGATAAAATTAATCATTCACTATCAATTTTCCGGAGCTTTTGAGAGCACCACAAATATTAGACCAAACCACTAATTATAAATGTAGTGTTATAAATTTCTATTAATTCTATTACTTTCTAAGAAAATAATTGCAGAACTATATTTATTTTATTTTTAATCCATCTATTAATATACTTAGAAATACGAATATATTTTCTGATGGCTAATGATTTGCTGTATGACTTCATATTCCTTTACTGAACATACCATAGAGAGAGGAAGATTAATTGGAATAAGTATTTCAAAATTAAGAAACAGTATTGGTCGCAAAGTTACAAGGGAGTGGGAGATGTTGATTCTGTTAACTTTAGATAACGAGGAAAAATACTTTTTCAGGAATCAATATCTAAGATTTAAAATGACTTTAATAAAATATTCATTTTTTTAAAGGACAATTTAAATTAATTTCAAAATATGTAATAAAGCGTCAGGCGGATATTAATATTTTCCCAAATAATTTATACATGTTCAAGTGTTTCTTCATGTACCTAATGTTGTTATTGAAGCTGAATTGTAGCAAACTTCTTTATTGGAGAATATTAGTAGTAATAATAATAATGATAATAATAATAATAATAATAATAATAATAATAATAATAATAATAATAAATAATCTGCTCGTAGTTGTCGAGGCTAAGGAAGGCCAGAAGTGGATATTTCGTTAATTATTTGGCTTAAGTCAAATGTCAGCCCTTGTTCAGAAAATAAACAAAATTACGGATAAACAAATAAATATTTATTTTACACAAAACTAAATGGAAACCCACGTGTTTTCATTTACATTGAATTGGTGGATGGGCATACAAGCATTTGTGGTGGCAGACTAACGAAATTCTTCCGACTGTTGGAGAACATGGACTTCCAATCACTAGTGCACGAAAAAATTGAAGAAAATGTAATAGTTACCTTCATTTACTTTTTTTTAGAACCGTTAATTGGGGAAAAAGATTAATCTTTCACTCCTCTACGTTACCATAGAAAATTTGTAACATTTATTCTACATTCTACTGTATAACATTGAACTGCAAAAGGGAATATATAATTATTGTGTGATACAAATAATATATTTTATTTAAAAATTTGGTCTTTGTAATGTTGAATGTTGTATTACATCAAAAGTAAACTTACAAAGCCTCATGAAACATTTAATACCCAAAAGCGAACAATTGTGAGAACAAGTTCCTTCCATTAATATGTTTAATAAAAGAAAAGGAAATAAACATTAAAAATGAAAGAA